GTTTCAGTCCTGATTTTGAATCAGATAAAGCAAAACACAGGAAAGGGACAATAATAGCATTGAGTCATAATTATTTACAGTTGAACATGTTAGACTATCATATGTAGTTACTGCTCCTGATAATGGTAGTGGCTACACTGGTGTACATTTTGGCAAAGCATTACTTGGGGAGACTCCAGCCCTTTGACAGTTCTGGTTTAGAGATTGTTGTGACTTTCTGAAGACAAAAAAAGAGGGATTTTCCCCAAGATTTTTATTATCTGAAGAAGAAAACTGGACTTGAAACAAGCTAGGTTAATTTCCATTATTTCCAAAAGGGCAATGTGATGTTCTCTTGATGCTCCAGTTCCTCAGCCTGTAGTAACTGCTTACACTAGGTAAGGTCTAGCCTTACCTTAACTAGGTAAGGTTATCAACCAAAATCACATCTGGGTTTTGCCTTCCACACGTGGCTCCAAGTCCCATTTCTTCTCTGCAAACAGCCAAGTTCCCTTGGGAGAGAAGCTGAGAATCTGGTCATAAGCTTCCTGCAGGTCAGGAGCAGCCCCTGATCAGCTACTGGACTATGTCACTGAAGTTAATATTGCTGCGTTGGCAAATGTGGGTTTGTTTCCTCAAAGATAAGTTCTGTTGTCAAACAGAAGCACTTCTGCTCATACTGACCCTCTCTAGAACTCTAGAGATGAGGAAAAATCAGTAAGTGCTGACTAGGATAAACTAAAATAAACATTTTCAAGCTTTTAAGATACTAACAAAATACTGAAAGGAAGAAAATAATCCCTGAAGGTATACAGTCTGTTGACTGCCCTGGGAGAGAGCAGGGCTACTAACAAGTGAGTCTGTTCTTCCCTCACTGAAGATGCAGCCAAATGCCTGCAACTTCCCTCAGCACAGGACTGGTTTGCTCTGGTCTCACCCAGACAGCATTGGGTTTGTGGCCACCAGGACAAGACAGTGATGGGGTATGGGCTGAGGGGCTTTCAAAGACCAGGAAGGCTGCTAATTCTCTGCCCTGCTAATGCCTGTTAGCTAGACTCTGCAGGAGCTGGCCAGAGCTCATTCTGGAGCAGAGATGATGTGCATAATGTGGAAGAAGCAGGAACATGAGCTAGCTGAGTTCAGACTTGCTTTTCAATGTATCCACATAGCTCTTGGTAGTGATGGCAGTCTGGAGGTTCCTAGCTTTTAGACAGAACACAGTATCCCCAGTACCTAGGAGGATGCTGTCCATCTCTATCACCTGGGCTATGTGGACACTCCTGTTCTGCAGTCACCATTTCAAGACTAGGTTGTTGTCATGTGCTTTCCTAGGGGCTGTTCTCAGATCAATCTAATGACTGAGGTAGGTGCAGAAAATGCATGCTTGGTAAGCAGAGTAAGAACTGGTACCCACCTAGCCTGACCTCCTGTATCATCAAATTACAGCCCATTCTCTCTGCAGGGAGTGCAATAGCTCATGTTGAATTCAAGATGCACTTTCTAGAAAGGCAATCAAACCTGATCGGAGGACATAAAGGGATAGAGAATACGCTCCTTCTTTAGTATTTTATTCCAGAAGATAATCACACTGCAACAAATGTGAACTAGATGATTCATTAGAATTTTTCTAACTCCAGCTCTCAGCATTATTCTGGTTCTTGCTATGCCTTTCCCCCCTTGATTAGAGCTTTTAAACCTGGCATTTTTCTCCCCGTGTTAGAACTTGCACCATGTAATCAACCTGCCTCTCAACACCCTGGAACAGCCAAACCCAGCAATGTCTCTGAGCTAGAATCTGTGCTGTTCCTCTTAAAAGCAGTTCAGTTATATGATTCATCCTGCCAGTAAAAACCATTCTATTACACTTTTTCCAGTTCTCTGTGCTTTCCCTTTACATAAATCTCGTGACATGGATGCATTGGCATCTTCTGTGTTTGCCTGTGAATTTTCCATGGACAGTTGAAGGTGTTAAGGTTGGCTGCAAGATCCTGTGTGTCCATGAATTCACTGCCCAAACAACGCCTTTGTGCTGTATCTGTGGCTGTCTCTGAGCTGAAACTTCTCTCTGCATCAGAAATAAAAGAATGCCCTTGCATGCTCCTTCAGCTTGGTCCTGCATTGCTCCATGTTCAATGGCCATCAGAAGTCTGACTGAACTTTGGATCATATATTCTGACTTTTAATAGTAAATTGGTGTTTAGGATTATTTTTTCTTCTCTTGGGGATTTACTGGATTGAGGAGATTTGGAGAAGTCATTCCTTAGTCTTTTTAGGCAGTTATTCTAATGTGCTTTAAGCCACCATGGCTCCAGTGTTAGCTGTGTTTGTGTGCTTGATACTGGTTAAATGAAAAGAAAAAATGAAATTAAACACCTATTCCTCTAAAAATCTGTGCTTTCTTAGCTTTTTTTCAGGAAAACCATCTGACTCAAAGGACTAAAGTCTTTAATTTTACCCTACATTTTAATCTCATTGACATCTTCTGAACATTGTTTTCTGTGTGCAGAGCCTGGGGTAGACCAAGCAGTGAGAAAATAGACTGTGAGAGTTTAATAGCAAAGAGTAGAATAGACTGTGGAGCAGACCATTTGTATCTGAGGCTGCTCTCTGTGGAACTCCTTGAACCTGCAGTTCAGCTGTTTTTAGTGCCTGATGTGTCTGATAGGATAAAAGCCCATGAGTTTTGCCTCCACTGCTGGGTAAGCCAAATGGTCCTTGTGACGTCATTTCACTTATTTTTTTCCTTTTTCTTGTTGTCTTCCTTTCCTTTTTTTCTTTCTTTTTCTTCTTTTCAGTTCTATCATTTTCTGTTTGCTTTGGTTGTTTTGGTTTTTTGTTTTGGTTTGTTTTTTGTGTTTCCTTTTCTTTGTTTCCTTTTGGGCTATATAATGTGAGCACTGTCACTTAACCAAATTAAGTACACCACTAGAATTCTGAAATTAGTGGGAACATGAATAAGCACTTTTGTCAATATAACTGTTCCCATATAGTCACATCTGAACTGCAGGTGCTGCTATGGAGCAAAAAAAGATCCCCTAGACTTCAATAAGTCAACCTGAACATTATCATTAAACCAGATATGTTGTTTCTGTTACTGGAACACCTGTGCAGAGCCATTCCCAATGTTACACCGTCACCTCTCACTATGTGGGAGTGCCACGTATCACAGGAAATGGAGTTTGCTCCTTTCCTCAGCAGTGTTGCACAAACAGCCCTGAATTGCAGCTGACTCACCAAAAAGTGCCCTTTTCTCCGGTAGCATCCTGAGGGTTACGTTGGTGGTATCTCACCAGATTTCTGGCATAGTCTGGTGTCATTGGTGGGCAGGGTGTGGCACAGCCAGGTATGCTGAGCACACACACGTGGGCTGTGCTGCAAGCAGCTCTGTGCTCCTCAGAGAAAGGCAGTGGGGATTTGTTTAAATACCCGAGAGACAAAGACTTTAATCACAACACATTTTCTTAGGTAAGATCAACAAACTGAGAGAAATCTGAAATTGTAACATGCTGTTCTTGGACACGCATTGGCTCTCCAGCAGTCTTTTTATTTCTCTGGTTTTAGTTACCTTTTGTAGTTTTATGACAGGTATGACAGGCTGGAGCCACTCTGGTTATGAACACTTTTATCTCTTTGAAGATACTCCTTTTGAAATTAAATGTTTCTTGGCCGTTCTTAGCTCAAAGCTGGAACTTTATAGGGAGCAGGATGGAACTGTTTGCAGTGGGGGGAACTCCAGAGCAATTTTACTTCCTTTGAAGATGTGTGTTGTTCCTGAAGCTCCTTCTGTGCAGTAGGAAAATCATCTGGGGCCAAGCAGGAAGTTGTGAGGTCGGTAGCACATCCCAGCGAGCCCTCGCCCTGCATCACACTGTCCCTTCCCTGCCAGCCCGTGTGACTGCAGACAGCTCTGGGCACCCAAGACAGGCAAGGAGAACTTTTGTACAGATTTGTTCCTAAAACCCACATCTGAGGGTGGGCCTGCACAGCCCACATGGAGTTCATTGTTGGGTACAGGCTGGTAGTGCTGGAGCCATTGGTTTTGTTTGGTGGGTTTTTTACCAGCTACCTCCACACTTCCACCCACCCGTGTGTTTGAAGCTCGTTGTGCAATGCTGAAGAATAATAAAGGTAGATAAAGGAAATTAATTACATTAATTTCACACCACTTCGCTGGTGATGCTGGGTAGGTAAGACCCGGCCTCTCCCGGGCTGAGGGCACGGCTGAGGTGAGCTGAGCTGAGGGGGAACCTTCTCATGGTAGGGCTGAGCTGAGCTGAGGGAGAATCCCCTCATAGCCGGGCTGAGGGGACCACCTGAGGGCCAAGCTGAAAATCTCTTCATGCCCGGGCTGGGCTGGGTTGCGGGATATTCCCACAGGGCCGAGCTGTTTCTGAGGAGCCGCCTATCATGACCAGTCTGAGGCAGGACTCGCTCCTGGCTGGGCTGAGGGATTCCCTCAGGACACTTGGGCGGTGCTGAAGGGACACCCTCAGAGCTACGCTGAAAACAGACGAGGTGCTGACCTGAAGCGACTGACGGGATCCCGGTCTGAGGGGACACCCCTACGGGCTGGTCCGTGGACGGCTGAGGGGCCGGTGCAGAGCACGGCTGAGGAAGCACCTGTAAGGGCCGGCGTAGAGCGCGGCTGAGGAAGCACCTGTAAGGGCCGGTGTAGAGCGCGGCTGAGGAGCCGCCCGTAGGGGCCGGTTCAAGGGCGGCGGAGGTCCCGCCCTGCTGGGCCGTCCCGGGCCGGGCTCACGGACCCCTCGGGGCCGCTGGGGCGGGGCGCGCACGGCGGGCGGGGCCGGGCGGGGCCAGGGGCGGAGCCTTCCCCGGGCCCCGCCCCTCCGGCCCCGCCCCTCCCGGGCTGTCAGAGCCGGCCTGTCCCGGGCAAGGCTCGGCGGGACCGCGGGATGCGGCGCTGAGCGCGCTCCGTTCGCTTTCTCCGTCCGTCTGTCCGTCCGTCATTCGGTCTCCCCGCCCGGGTTCCCGCACGCCGAGATTCCCTCCCGCAGCCCATGATGTGCCTGGAAAGCGACGGCTCCTCCGGCAGCAGCCCGGGCTGCGGCGGGCGGCTCCGAGCTGGCGACGAGGAGGAGGAGGAGGACGGCGAGCGGGGCTGCTGCGGCCGGGGTGCCGAGGGCGAGGTGCAGACCCTGTCGGGCAGGATGAACCCTCCGGCGGCCGGCAAGCACCCCGACCGCCCCGCCGCCCTCCGCAAGGCGCCGACCCTCGGCCGGGCCCGGGTAGCGGCCGCCGGCATCCTCAGTGTGGGCAACGTGCTCAACTACCTGGACCGGTACACGGTGGCAGGTGAGCGCACCCCGCGGCTGTGAGAGCATCCCCCGCTGCCGGGGACAGCCCTTCCCCGTGAGGGCACGGAGCAGCCGCCGCCGTCCCCAGGGCTGTCCCGGGCTGGGGTCAGCGGGGCTCGCCCGCCGCGCCGGGGCTGGAGAGGAGGGATGGCGTGAGCGATGCGGCGCGGCCGGTGCCCATTGTGCGGCCCCTCCGGTATTGTTCTCTAGTTTGTCTGAATTTTATCGAAAATAAGAGGAGCGCCCTTTGTTTGTGTGGATGGCGGAATCGGTGCTCGGTGGGATTCGGGAGGGAGCGGTGGCTGCAGCGCGGGCAGAGCGGAGGGCGCTCGGCGAGGTTCGGGGGCGATGGCAGACGCCTTATCGATCCCGCACGGGGGAAACGCTGCGGGCGACAGGTGCAGCTGCGGCCGGAGACACAGAGAGCTGCCAAACGCGGGGAGACAGGCACGCCAGCGCGGTCTGTCCTTGCGTGAAAATCCCAGCAGCGAAGCAAATCCCTTTTGCTTTGTTTCTGCGGAGGGCGTCCAGCCTGGATCGCCCGGCTGCCCTTCAGCCCTGTGCCAAGGAGGGTCCCTTCCCTGCAGAACTCCCGAGCAGGTGACAGCAGAGCTGGCAGGAGCGGGCGCAGGAGGAGCAGCTAGGCAGCTGCAGTGCACTTTGCAAAGCTCGGTTTTCTTGAGGTAAACACTCAAAATCATGCACCCACTGGTGGATGTGTGACCAGCCGTGCTGTGTGAATCACTATGTTCCTCAGTACTTACTACTACTGTGAAGCTCAGCTCCAAAGCAAATGTCTGTTTGGATGTTTACTGTGCCATCCCTAGAGAGAACTCCTTGTTTATTCTTGTCAGGCAATAACAGCAGGGAAGAAGATCATCACTGAACTTTTTCTAATTAGAAATGAAGTAGGCTTGTTGGTAATCAACTGTCTTATGTCATTAGAATATAATACATATTCTCTGTTTGGCAATACTGATAATTTTATCTTCAGAGCTTACAAAGGGATTTGTGCATGTATAAATTTTTCTCTATGCATATATATGTTTTAATCACTAGGACTCAATGTGGTGTTAAGCAAATCCGATATTTGTTTATACTACATTAAAATAATGTATGCTTGTAGGGCAGTGATAGAGAGTGAGGGACATAAATCTAAGTCACTGTTGTCAGAATAAGTTGGCCAGGCTGTATTTATTTTGTCTGGAGTAGGGAGATGGGGAGGATTAAAAGGAAAATTTAGCTGGCACCACTGTGGCTTTTTTGTTTTCCTTTTTAGATGTGGCTTGTTCCTTCAGGAAATGTAAAGGCCAGTATTGGGAGATATTGAGCACTCAGCTGGTAGTCAGTCTGTTACAGAAGGAAGCTTGAAGATACAAGGTTAACCTGTTATTATTGAAGGAAATTGTAGTGTGCTCCCTTGCCCTCAAATAGGGACCTCTCTAAGTAGAGTTTTACTACAAAGCACTTTTAAAGTATGGGCAGTTTCCTTTTTAGGAAGCTACTCTCCCCCTCATGCATTCTTTAAAAAAATAACCCAAAAGCAACAATCACATCTAGTTCACCTATTTGCTCTAGAACTTCCACCAAGACCGTTGCCATCTGATTTTTCTGGCTGTGAGAACGGAAAGTATCTTCTTTTCTGAAAGGCTGGAAGGTGCCTGACCAAGCACAAGACAAAAATGCCTGCCTATTGTAATGTGGCATTGCCAAACCCAGGACTGTGATTGCTGGCATTTCTAGGACAAGCTCTGGTATTGCTGTGCTCAATAACTGCCCTGTGGAACTTATCTATTAACATTCAGCTTGATATCAAAGTTTAAGATCTCAGACATCAGACTTGCCTTTGGGGATAAGAATCAAACTTTGCATGGGCTTTTTGTCTTCTGTCAATTGGTATTTACTTTTCAAACTGGTGTTATATAAAGTGCTAATCTAAAACATGAAATAATTTAAATCCAGTGTAATGGAAGAGTTGTGGTAATAAAAATTATATGTTTTGAGCTCAAAACTGACTTGATTATAAAGTCTTCTCTAAAAGTAATCTTTACTTTTGTATTTGGAGTCTTAGTGCATACCACATGCTTATGTGATGCGCACTTGCAGATGAATCAAGCTAGCACTTTGAATATTCAGCTCATGTCTCAAGACAGGTAATAATTAGTAAATACAACTCTCCAGACCTTCAAAGTACATTTCAAATATGAATTGTTGCTGCAACATAATAAGGGATTTTAACACCAGCCACGTTTATGGCAGGGGAAGTAGCATCAGAAGTTATGATTTACCTAAGGCCAGTGGACTGTTGTGAGAACTGGAATTAATTTCTGGTTCCAGCTCTATTTGAAATAAGTGTTAGAAGAGCAGCAGTACCAATGAAAACTGGTTCCTGAGGATTTGTCTCTAGGGTGATCCCTGCTGTGGATTCTCTGATGTCAAATAATAGTTGACCTTTGTCATTAGCCTTTCTCTTCTTGTCTTATAAGAGTCTTGCATCTACCCAGCCATTTTTTTTTTTTTAATGAAAGTGTTGGAAGCTTTGGGACTTCTTCCTGCTGTCAAATTTAGTCAAAGGCAGGTCAGTGGCCTCAAAAGCAATTAACAGGCAGCAGACAGACAGACATAAGCAAATAGACTGTCCAGCTGAATGGACACAATACTCCAAGTACATCTTCTGTCTTACTTGAGAACTTGGTTACAATCATTTTGGTCTTCCAAAAAGTATAAGAAAAAACAAGTATATATTTAGTATATGTACATATATATATGTATATATATATAGTATAAATAAGATTTTTTTTTTTTTACTGGGGAGGAAAAATAATATACAGAGTTATTTCCAGCTGTAATTTCCTGAGTATCTTCCACTATTTTCTAACATATCCTCACAGAAGCTGTAAGTTTGTATCCAGTCAATGCAAGAAGATCTTATGTAATAGAAAGAACTAGGCTGACCTGTCCTATAGCACATCTTGCCCCTAAAATAAAAACTTTTGCATTGCTACAAAGCAAACAGCAAATGTGTTACTTCTTAGTGTTTACACTCTGGACACTTAAACATTGTGTATAATGAGTTTGGGTAATCTTTTTTTCAAGTGCAACACACAAGGAAGTAGCTGCCTCTTTTCCTGGTTTTAGTTTAATGATTTCCCAGTATGGGCTAAATGAGTTTACAATGGGATATGCCTTTTTGGTATCTGGGACAGAGCTTGAGAGCAGTTTCCAAGATACAGGGCATACACAGCTTCACACCTGACACTAAGTTTGCAGCTTTTTTTGGGAATGCATGGTGAAAATGAGCCTCCACGGAGGACTGGCCTGTTTCTTAAGGTTTAAGAATAAGTTTCTTCCAGTACTTAAAAATAAAGAGTCTGCACACCAGTGGTGGGTATTTCAATAAGGTCCTTATGGTTACAAAGAGCTGGAAATTTCCAGTGTGTGTGGAGTTTGTTGGAATATACTGAAGTATGTTGGAATATACTGGTATTTGGGAGAAGCTGTCCCAGACAAAAAGTGTGAGTGCCTCTGCTGTGGCTATTGTAAAGAAAAGATTGAAAACTCAATCAGTGCTCAGCATTACCAACTTGTAGGGAAATGATCCTCTGCAATTTTCTTAATAGGTCTTTGATCATACTGAAAACAGTTGCCTGTGGAAAAAGCATTCTTTCAAAAGCTGTGATATTGCACTGCTATTCGGATAGGAAACAAGTAAGGACAAGGGGAAAACAAAAGAATTGTTAGAAACCATTGTAGATTTCCTGTGAAACTGCAGGATTTTAGCCATGGTGCTGGGACATATCTTCTTCCTTAATGAAGTTTTGGGAAAAGTCATCTTGCCTTCAGAAGCTTGGAATGTGGTTTCACAATTATACCGTGGGTGACCTTTTACTGTGCCTGCTGTTGACGATGGAAATAGTCTTGCTTCATTAGGGTGTCACCTCCACCTTCTAATTCAGATGCTACTTCCTGGCATTTCTGTAGTGCTTTAATTTAAAGGTAACGATTTAATTAAGCTGCAGAACTACCCAGCAAAGTAAATGAGCCTCACTATCCCACTACAGAAGGGGAAACCAAGTTGCAGAATGTCGGTGATTTGCCTGTGGTAATGGAGTTAGTGGCAGAGCCTTGGTTGGTATCAGCTCACCCTTGAGCTTCTCCATCCATCACACAGCACGTCACAGACTTTGGTCTGCTGCTTTTGTCCTTTAAATGTCTGCAACTTGCTAATAACTGTATTTGTGTTAATTAACCTCTCATTATAACGCATAGTTGCAAATCAAATGCCATTCTTTGAAGATACATACATGCAAATGATCACTGAAAGTTGAAAGGCAACTTTAAAACTACGTAGTACAGACTCCAGCTGAAGGGTTAGCAAGGGTTCAGCACTATCTCTGAAGTGCAAAGACATTCAAGAGGTTGTGAGCCAAAACTGCTTCTTTTTACTGGTGAGCTCACATTTCTGATAGTAACATAGTGCCCCATTGAGTGTTTCTTAGTGAATGGAGTCAGAGAATTCACATGGAATGGCATAAAAAGAGCCCCTTCTCCCCTTGTGACAAGGCTATGCTCAGTGCTTATAGCTTTAGGGAGGGAAGTATTAAGAGGCAGTGCAAGCACCCAGGACACAGCTCTGCAAGGATTGTAATGCTGGAAAATAATAGAAAATAACACTGACAGAATGCACTTGAGCCAGCAGGGCTGCCAGCTCACACATGTGAGAGTTTGTGAAAGGATGACAGTGTTTTACTTGGGCAGCAAGGACATGCTACTGACTCAAAATTCAACAAGTCCTGCTCTGGGAGCAGAAATCAGACTTGAACCTCATGTACTTCAAAAACAGGGGACAGAAAATGCTCTGCAGCACGATGCCAGGGACTGTGCCATAGCATCTTGTTCTCTAGTGTTCTGTTTTCCCTGTGTGATGGGCTTTATTGCAAAGGCTGCTGCTTCCTGTTTGCTGATCCTTATGCAAGTTGGCAGGATTTGTTCCAGAGT